ACTYAGCGGTTAGAGTATCGCTTTCATACGGAGAGAGTCATTGGTTCGAATCTAATAGTAGGTAAGCGTCGAACTTACATTTGTTACTGAAACACTTATCACTGACGATTTTTTAAAAAGCAACTAAATTTTTTGTTTTCGATTAAAATCAGAAATCCACAAGCTTTGCAACTCATTAGAGTTTAGGAAGGTTTATTTCTTCAACCTGGAGGTCTGTGGTAATAACCCAATCCAATTCATTGTTGACCTTCTATTTTTGCAACTTGAGCTGAAGCTTGCCAAGGAATAACTCCACATTGTCTTGCAAACAACTACACCCCTTTTCACCTATTTGGCCCAACCCGAATATATGTTGATTTTTGATAATTCAACCAAATTCTAGACACATATTCGTGCTAACTATGTTATAAGAGATTGCTTAACTCGTAGGCATTTCCTAATTCTTAGTGTCTAAAGGATTCATCACTTCCAATAACACAAAACCCCGAGGCTAAAATTCGTTCAAACAACAAGATCACGATAACTTCGAATTGATCATGAATTCCTTGCAAAGCATAATGTAATTATCACCTGCATCTTCCCTTACCAACCCTTTTCCACATGCACCAACGATACACATCTATCCTCTATACTAATAGTGAAACTGGACCATCAATTATCATTCCACATGACAGAAGATTTTACACACCCTTAGACATATAAAAGGAACCACAAAGAAAGTACACAATACAGTCCAATATCGCCTTTTCAAAGTAATAAAGTGGTAAAGTACCAGTTATCATCCACAGAGATTGTAGTAGAAGTTTAATGAAAGAAATGATTTCAGATGATGAATTTGAGACTTTGATTGGTTTGATTTAACAACTTAAATAACAAAATATATAAAGGTAACATGAGTGTAAGACTTGTGATGGGACATAAACACAAATTCCAACAAACAATGTTGTAGGGATGCTACAGCAAGTAGTCAACCATAACTAGTTTCACCATCTATTTTGAGGGTATTCCTTTCGAAATTCGACCATTGTATATTATAGCTTTCAGCCCATATGTTCATGTTGTATCAGGACCATAGTGTCCTCAAAATATATGGATAAATAAATCTCTTTGTTAAAAATAACTCTCTCGAGCTGATTCCCATATCATTCAAGTTGGTGTGTGTTCTAAGTAGTTCATCTACGAATCTACTGCACTTTAACAAGTGACCAAACCGTCGAGAATTAATTAGTTTGAAAAATATAAATGACAAATATCTTTCTCAGCAACTCTCTCAAGTCTACTTCTCATATCATTCAAATTGACGTGCATTTAATAACTTATCTCTAAGACCATAACATTTTCAAAGTGATTGATTATTTTCAAAAAATAACATACAGTGAAATTGGGCCATCGTTCTTCATGACACGTATTCGTCAACACATTGAAGTTGAAGATTTGGATTCGATAATGGAAATGTCACCTGAGTTATTTGCCTACGCTGATCAGAGTGCTCAGTGTGTAATAGATTATAGGAGTGTGATAGATCCTATAGCTCAACCAGAACCGGTTGAACTTACCCGGGGATCAACGCATGTCTTAGCTGAGGGAGAGGGTTTAGATATAGCTGAGAGAGTTCAGGAACACGGGTTACCTGAACAGGGTTGTGAGCTGAGAGAAAATGTAATTGAGAGGGGTAATTTGGAGCGGGGAGACTCTGATCAGCTAGTACTTCAACCGAAAGTACTTCCACAACTTCTTCTTCAAGCTCGAAAGATACTACATCTGATGATGAGGCAACTCAGAGTGATGTTTATAATGATGATCATAATGATGGTGCTGATAATACTGCTCATCCTATGGTTTTACAGAATATTCAAATGGGAGCAGTTATTGAAAACATTGAAGACATATTTCCTGAAATTCAAGGTCCACAGACTTGCCAAGTCTACATTCTTTATCTTTCAATGTTGATGAGTTTGAAGGTAGCTTCGATGATCTGCATCGTTTGTTTGATGGTATTTCAGTTGAAGAAGATGAGGGTGATCAAGTTGAAAATGCTGAGAGGTTGAGTGAAAGGGAAGGAGAAAAATATGGTGAGAGTGTGAGTGGAGCTCAAAATGAAGAAAATGCTCTTATCCCAGCTGATACAGTCAGTCGAGCACCCACATCTGCTATTGACATTCATTCGTTGAATGTTGGTATTGAAACAGACATAGCTAGCCCAGCTATGCGTTTACACACCTCTCCCAGCCACTCAATTGCTTCTCAACAAGCAGTTGTTTCATTTTCTCACGGGGACTTAGCATATAATCTATCTGCTTCTCCATCGGAGAATGTGGATATTGAAGATAGTAGGCCTCTGCTCCAGCCTACGACATCGATTCTGTGCACCTCGAGTCTAGAGCCAATACACATAGGTACACATGAGTCGAGAACATCTGTTGCTCAAACTGCAGTTCTTAGTGAACTTGTCGGACCGACCAGAATGGAGTCTATTGACTTACCACTAGGACAGGTCGGAAGTCCTACCAATGCTACTATCATGCCAACACTGAACGTAGGCACAACAGTTTTTTCAACTGTTGTTACAACTGGTAATCTAAGTGATCCAGGTGTGAGTTTACCCGACTTTGTGTCAAGGGAGTATTTGGACGGCGCCCTAAAGGCTGTTCAGGATCACAGGAAGCACAAATTCTCAGTTTGAAGATAATGATGAAGGGAAAGGAGCCTGCAGTTGAAGAACAACCATTTGTGCCGTCACCACCGCCTGTGTCTGAACCTCCGAGGGCACAAGAACAATCGGTGGATGAGCTCAAATCGCTGTTGTATGCAAAGCTTATGTCTTCTCAAAATCCTGATGAGGCAGATGCAGATTTGGTTGGGCTCCTTCAACAGCTTGTAGATGAAAAACCAACCGTTCGGGCCTCAGAGTTTTTGGCATTCCAAGATGTAGTTGCTACTAATTTTTCAAAAGTTAGCAAGTTAATTGCATCCAACACTCAAACTTTGAAGAATTCTATTGATGCTCTATCCGAAAGGGTATCGAACTTAGAAGATACTTGTCGCGCTCAAGCCACCTCCTTGAAACGAAGGCATGATGATCTGGATGATCCTGATCATCATGAGGGGGAGAGGAAAAGACAGAGGTTGGTTGAGTCGTCTGTTCATGCTGAAGGTGTTGAAAGGGAGCCGGATTCTAAAGCGGCTAATGTTGAAAGTCCTGTTCCAGAAAGAACAAGGGAAAGGACTACAGGCCCGGTAATAGTTGAAGAGGAGATAGCCATGGAGGCAAATCCAATGATCGAGCCAATGGTTGAAAAGTCGGCGGACTCCACTGTAGAAACAAGGTTGCTTCTAGATTTGTCTGCCAATGTTGGCTTTAATCAAGCTTTTTCTAAAGAATTGGGTGGAGTTCAAGATTTTGGTGAAGACATAGAAAATATTGATGAGTCATCTGGAATGTATTTTGACTTTGAAGCTGACATCAACGAAGATGATCCGATCTTTCCATTCCAGGGTGATCATCAGATTCCTTCTGAACCTTCCACCGCAGTTGATCAAGGCATTTCAGAAACTCCGAGAATAGCATATGATCCTATAGAAATATTTACCAAGAATTACGTGCCATTTGCAATTCGAGCCAATGCTCCAGGTTATGACAGAGCTCGGGTTAGAGAACCTTATCTAGAGGACATCTACTTTGGCATCTTTATTCGACATCGTAAAGCTCTTAGTGCTGATAAAGTTCTCGGGATTCATAAAGACACCCAAGAATATCGTTTGGAGTATAAACATTTTCTTAAAGCGAAACGCCTTCCGATAAGTCAAGTACGAACCAGACTTCGTATTGTGTCCATCAAACAAATTGATGCCAATAAACTCCTCAGAGTTTGGTATCCGGTGTTTACTGTTACAAGACAGGATGGACGTGTCTGGACTTTCAGCAAAGCTGATTTCTCGAATCTCTATTTAGAAGATCTGGAGCATATGTATCACGAACTGCGGAATCTTATAGTAAGAAGAGAAGGAGCAGTTATTGCTCTTGAAGCTATCAAGAGATATATGAAGAGTCATGTCAAAGTATCRATGGTTCTAGATATTCAAATGGGTCTTGAAGATAACCAGAAGATTATTAATTTGAAAAGACCAGATCAAGAACTTGAAGATATTGAAGGCTATCATCTTTACATTATTCTTGAAGATTCGGAGTTTGGAGTAGTCTATGATGTTGAAGGTCGGATAAAGAAGTTTATGAGATTCAGTGAGCTGAACAAGTACAGTGACGGTACAATAAGGATGGTGCATCGGGCGCTTGAGAAGATTGAAACAGACAATGATAAAGCTGCAGAATCGGAGAGAATGAGTCCGAAGGAAAGGTATTTTCTAATTAATGCTCTCGACCTGCTAGACGACAAATTGCAATATCGGAGTGCTTTAAGAAGGTTTGAGACACTTCTTGGGATAAGAAAGTCAAGATTTACAATGTCTCGAACTTGAATCCAAAGGGGGAGATTGTTGGGTTCAATATTATGCTAATATGTTGTATTCAAGTTTTTCTCTCATTTTGTAATAGTTAGCTATATTACTTTCTTAGTATAAATGGTGTTTTGTAGCTTAATTGTAATTAGTTATTGTTAATCATTTTGTAATTCTCTCTCAAGAAATATACATTCAAAGCTTGGTGAAAATCTCTCTCTTCTCTCAATTGGGTTCTTGAAGATTTATCTGATTTCATTGATATTTGGGATTCACAGTGATCAACTTGTCAAGAATTGTCATTGATTTTATAAAACTTGAATGAAATAGTGGAACGTTATTATTTCGAAAAAAACATTCCACTTTTCTTTGGTTTAAAATCTCACTCGTTGTCTCACATCTGAGTTAATGGAATTAGTTACTCAGTACGGAAAGTAAATGACAAGAAAAGTAAATAACAGAAAGTAAATGACTAAATGTAAATAATAGAAAGTAAATGACAAGAAAAGTAAATAAAGTAAAGACAAGATGCAATGTTGTAGCAATTTAATGTAAAGTGTAAGAATATAAAAGAAGTACTTGAATTAACTAGAATTTAAGTACAAAGTCATGTAAATCTGATGAAGGATGATCAAAATGAGCTCCAAATGCTTCTATTTGTACTAGAATAGAGGAAAAAAAGACAAAATCTAAGAGAAGATAAGATTCCCAAAAAGTAGACAAAAAATACAAAAGTACAAAAGTATAAAAGGAACAATCATAACAAGTACACTAAGTACTTTTCTCTAAAATCTTCTTGTAAATCATCAATCTTTGCCCAAGAGTTATCCAAAAAAATTTCCTTATCCATGCAGAGCAGCTGAATCCAGAAATCTTGTCCAAAAAGCCGCACTACAAAGACCAATACTAAATGAATGCTACCGCACGGAAATAGTAGGGATACATGTAAAGAATTAGCCATCCTAATTTTGTAATGATGAGCAAATCACTTAATTTAGTTTCGTGGATAAACAAATGGAAAATAATATAATAAAAGTGACTCAAAGTTGGGATAAAAGGCAAACAAACCACCTAAAAGTAAAGAAATAAGTGTTTTATAGCTTAAATAGTCAATGTATATCTCACCCTCAAACTTAAAGTCTTGCTTGTACCCAAGAAACTAAAATATAAAAAGAAAATGACTCTATTTGGATAAAAAGTATACACGATTATAGCATTAAGTGCACACATATTGCAAAGCATACTAACATGAACTTCATAGCCTTTCATAAATATTTAGTGAACCATTCATAGCCTAATTATATGGATGAACCATATGTTAGTACCAATCTTTTATTTGTTAAACTCAACAACATTTCATTTAGGATCAATAGGGCTTTTATAGGGTTACTCTCTTTGGCTTTTTCTTTTCTCACATAACCTCTTTTTTTCATATGCTTCAACATTGATTTTTTTTTTCAAATTTTGGCACTTTGTGCTCCTTTTGTTGAAAGCATGCACTTTGCCCCTATGGGACCTTTTTAGTGTTTTTAACCATATCCCAACTAAGGCATCTTTTTTAGAGTTTTACTCTTTTTCTTTGATGTTTTGGCCTTAGTGGACAACCCTCCCTCAAACTTGAATTTTGACAATGTCCTAATTGGCTATATGGGGTATGTAGTATATATAGATAGAGGGTACAAATGGCTATTTATGAGACAAAAAGAAAGGAATATATCATTCCCCTCATGTGTGTAGTGTGTGAGTCAAGTTGTGTCCTAAAAAGATTGTTTCTAGTTCTAGCAGAACATAATTACTAGGTGAATAGATCTAAACCTTAGAATTATTTGGGCTAAAAAATCAAAGGCAACAATCATTGAACATGCAATCTTGCAAAAGAAATCTAAAAATGTAAAACTATCCCAGACTCCAGAATGAAAATATGGAGACTAAAAGAAAATGATTTAAACTGGTCCTACTTCAAAGGAGTAGGCTGCATAGCATGTGCTACTGATGTGGTGTCTAATGCTGCAACATCACTCTTCTGGCTCACTCTTCTGCATCAACAAGTTGTCCATGAGATTACTGTTTTGAGTCAGCAAATCTTGAACCATGGTCATCAAGTCAATAGATCCTACCCCTTTTTCTTTCCTACCTTTTAAGTCCATAGACAACCTTCATGTCAATGAAGTACTTATCCTCACCTTCTTTCACCACCAAGTCCTCCTAATAAAATGGGACTCCAACATGTAGCAAAATTTTGTTAATCAGTCCAGGGAGGTAGAGTTTCCCTGAGATCTTTTGGCACAATACACAATTGCCTTATGTACAACATCTCTTATATTGATGGTTTTCCCTTTCATGATACAGTATAAAAAGATCATCCTCTCCACATTTATGAAACTATCATGTATTGTAGGGTTCAATGAGTGCCTCATAAAATTGACCCAAACATCGGCATTGGGGGTCAACTTTGAGCCTTTAGAGGTTTTGAGCATAAAATTAGTATGATGCTCCCATGTAGTTCCAGGTTTAGCAAGGAACTCATATATTTCTTTGAGCTTAGCCTCATTAGATGTATGGGACAGAGTTTTATACTCAAAATTTGTGTAGGTGGGGAGGCCTAACATAGTGTTTATGGCCTCATAAGAGATAGACACTCTAACATCTCTAACTTTGAGCATGCTGGAAGTACTTACATAGGTCTCATCATAAGATTCTCTTACTAGACTTAAGTTGTAGGAAGTTTGTACGTCATAAAAAGCATGCCAACCATGTGTGTCTATTACCTCTTTGATGAAAGGGAACATAGAGATGCTTCTTGTATCAAACCCTTTGCGAGGAAGGGCCATCTTTGTCTTGAAGCTGGAATATGCCTCCTTGGATTTCATAGAATTAAACCCCTTATTAGGAAATGTGGGCTTAGGGGTTACTGTTGGTGTGGAGGAACTGGCACCAGGGTGCTGTTCTGATGCTGCAGCTACTGGTTGTGCCTTCCTTGATGATTTTCTGGTGGGAGGTTTCTTGGCCTTAGTCTTTGACCTTATGGTGGTGGGTGAGGCATGTTTGAATTTCTTCAAGGTTGGTCCCTCAGTGTGAATGCTCTTATGTTCAAATTTCGTACCCAAAAATTTCCTCTTCTTAGAGGGTGGTTGAGGGGGTGTGATCTAGGCATGGTGGTGGCACAACAACCTCACTGTTGGATGTTCCTTCCCCAACCATCACCTTGTGATAGTTAATCCCTATGTGGTCTAAGATTTTGTCAACAACCTAAAAATCGTCATTTTGAGGCCTTGATTCCAATCACGGCTTGGAGAGAGGCCTTGTTGGATGCAAAATCCCACGAGAGAAAAAGAGAGTTTCTTAGGGTCTATATGCTTGGTAGCATCATCCTCTTCCTCTTCCTCTGAATCGGAGGAGTCATAATCCTCCACCCAAACATTAGGGGTTAGAAAGTACCTCTTTGACAGATTGTGGTGTGATGATGGGGATATCGATTGCTTGATTTGAGTCTTTGATGGTTGAACCTGCTTTGACTGCTTCTGGAACAGGGTCGATTGATGAAGAGGTAGGGATCTCAATTGGTAGTTGAAGCATTTCTTTGACTGTGGTGGTGGGCTGTCGATGACAAGGTCCACAACCGGAGGTTCCTCTTTGTTTTTGGGAGCAGTCACAACAGCCCTTCTATGAATGCTTCTTTGAACATTAGCTTTTTCATCGATGGGGTCTCGAATCACACGAGCCATGGTTGGGTCGAATCAAGCAGTAGAAGGCTTAGGACTAGGATGAACAATGGTGATGAGGAATCGGTTTTAGGATGAACAGGAAGGGACAATTTTAGGGTCAATTAATGAGAGAAAATATTGGAGAAGGATGATGAGTGGGTGGTTTAGCGGTTAATACCCGTTGGTTTAGGAAAGTAATGAGTACCCATCATGGCTAAAAAATTGGGGTACTACAAAACTGATAATTGTCATTGTGATGCCATGTACTACGTTTTTTTTTACTCATTCTTATCCTTTGAAAGGGAGGGGATGTGAAATTCTTTTAAATTTGAATCATAATTAAAAAAAATAAAAGAACAAAATCAGTCAAAATATAATATATTTTATTATTATTACTTTATACATATCTATAATTATAT